ATGAATTTACTACATTGCCATGTCAAGGAGCTTTTCGAATTCCTACCTAACAGAATTTGATAACTGGTTTGAGCCAGTGACTGCTGTGAATTCCTCATTCTTTCCTTTTACAAATGGGAGTTTTCTTTATATATCGAATATATATATATGGGGTGGATGGCAGTTCATAAAATGCCATACCATGAGGAGCCACAACCAGACTTGATGGAGAGGATTACACATTCCCAAGAGATAATGGACTTAGAGCTGGATCCGGAATTGGACTTTGGGGTTTTTCTCCTTTACAGAGAAGGTGAATACATTCTATGTGTGGAAAGAAAAGCTTAGGATACTTGAGTAGGAAAAGACGTGGAATGTGGTGACTACTAGTTGTTTCCCAACATCTACAATAATCGCTTCTCTTTCAAAATAAGTTTTAAATGGTGCATGGCCAGTCTCCTTTGTAGATGGACATGTATAAATATGTGACTGAGTTCTGGCCAACAGGATGCTATTGGAAGTGATATATTCAACTCTATTTCCCCTTTTCTCCTACACAGCCTCGTAGGAGATAAAGATCTACAAAAAGAGTTATTAAAAAGTAACATGATAAGTCCTGAAACAGAAAGAAGAAGAAAAAATCACAAATCTACATGCAACGGTAATTTTGAAGAAAGTTACAAAATGGCCCACTTGCCTTTAAGTTTTATTCAAACTATTACAAAAACTAAGGAGAGTGACAAGAAAGTTATTAATCTTAGCAACAAAATACCTTAAGCCGGATCCTGCAACTGTGCAACAACTGTTTTCCAGTATTGATTTTTTACCTTTCCCTCCCAATACCACACAAGATTATAGTAGCCCCTCCCCAGCCACAGTTTTGCTTTCCAAGGTTTCAGTTACCGTGGTTTGAAAATGTTAAATGAGTATGGAGCATGATGAAATCTCTGACTGTCCCGCTCTATCATTCACAGAACTTTTATTACAGTATATTGTTATAATTACTCTATTTTATTATTAGTTATTGCTGTTAATCTCTTACTGTGCCTAATTTACAAATTAAACTTTATCACAGGTATGTATGTATAGGACAAATCAAAGTATATATAGGGTTCTATATAGGGTTCTGTCAGTTCGTCATACTGTGGGGGCTTGCGTGTTGCTGTGATGCTGGAAGCTATGCCACTGGTATTCAGATACCAGCAGGGTCACCCATGGTAGACAGGTTTCAGCTGAGCTTCCAGACTAAGACAGACTAGGAAGAAGGACCCAGCAGTTTACTTCTGAAAAGAATTAGCCAGTGAAAACCTTATGAATAGCAGCAGAACATTGTCTGATATAGTGCTGGAAGATGAGCCCCCCAGGTTGGACGGCACTCAAAAGACAACTGGGGAAGAGCTGCCTCCTCAAAGTAGACTCGACCTTAATGATGTGGATGGAGTCAAGCTTTCAGAACCTTCATTTGCTGATGTGGCATGACTCAAAATGAGAAGAAACAGCTGCAAACATCCATTAATAATCGGAACGTGGAATGTACGAAGTATGAATCTAGGAAAACTGGAAATCGTCAGAAATGAAATGGAATGCATGAACATCAATATCCTAGGCATTAGTGAGCTGAAATAGACTGGTATTGGCCATTTTGAATCAGACAACCATATGTTCTACTATGGCAGTAATGACAACTTGAAGAGGAATGGCGTTGCACTCATCATCAAAAAGAACATTTCAAGATCTATCCTGAAGTACAACACTGTCAGTGATAGGATAATATCCATACGCCTACAAGGAAGACTAGTTGATACGACTATTATTCAAATTTACGCACCAACCACTAAGGCCAAAGATGAAGAAATTGAAGATTTTTTACCAGCTTCTTAGGTTTGAAATTGATCAAACATGCAATCAGGATGCATTGATAATTACTGGTGATTGGAACGCGAAAGCTGGAAACAAAGAAGAAGGATTGGTAGTTGGAAAATACGGCCTTGGGGATAGAAATGATGCCGGAGATCGCATGATAAAATTTTGCAAGACCAATGACTTCTTAGTAGCAAATACCTTTTTTAACCAACATAAACGGTGACTATACACATGGACCTCACCAGAAGGAATACACAGGAATCAAATAGACTACATCTGTGGAAAGAGATGATGGAAAAGCTCAATATCATCAGTCAGAACAAGGCCAGGGACTGACTGCAGAACAGACCATCAATTGCTCATATGCAAGTTCAAGTTGAAACAGAAGAAAATTAGAACAAGTCCATGAGAGCCAAAGTATGACCTTGAGTATATCCCACCTGAATTTAGAGACCATCTCAAAAACAGACTTGACACGTTGAACACTAATGACTGAAGAACAGACGAGTTGTGGAATGACATCAAGGATATCATACATGAAGAAAGCAAGAGGTCATTAAAAAGACAGGAAAGAGAAACCAAAATGGATGTCAGAAAAGACTCTGAAAATTGCTCTTGAACGTCGAGTAGGTAAAGCAAAAGAAAGAAATGATGAAGTAAAAGAACTGAATGGAAGATTTCAAAGGGTGGCTCGAGAAGACAAAGTAAAGTATCACAATGACATGTGCAAAGAGCTGGAGATACAAAACCAAAAGGGAAGAACATGCTCAGCATTCCTCAAGCTGAAAGAACTGAAGAAAAAATTCAAGCCTCGAGTTGCTGTAGTGAAGGATTCTATGCAGAAAATATTAAACAATGCAGGAAGCATCAAAAGAAGATGGGAGGAATACACAGGGTCATTATACCGAAAAGAACTGGTCGATGTTCAACCATTTAAAGAAGTAGCATATGATCAGGAACTGATGGTACTGAAGGAAGAGGTCCAAGCTGCACTGAAGGCATTGGAGAAAAACAAGTCTCCAGGAATCTGACAGAATATCAACTGAGATGTTTCAACACACAGATGCACTGCTGGAAGTGTTTACTCATCTATGCCAAGAAATTTGGAAGACAGCTACTTTGGACAGGTTGTCGGGGGGATTAGTCCCTGGAGAAGGACATCATGCTTGGTAAAGTACAGGGTCAGCACAAAAGAGGAAGACCCTCAACAAGATGGATTGACACAGTGCCTGTAACAATGGGCTCAAGCATAACAACAATTGTGAGCATGGCGCAGGACCAGGCAGTGTCTCGGTCTGTGGTGCATAGGGTCGCTATGAGTTGGAACTGACTTGACGGCACCTAACAACAACAACAACAACATATAGGGTTCGTTACGATCCTGGATTTCAGGCATTCATGGGAGGTCTTGGAATGTATCCCTCACGGGTAAGGAGGGACTACTGTATACCCTTGACCTGACGTTCTGATTCAATGCTGAACTTCCGAATTTCACCAAACACCCTACATTAAAGCAAATTCACTAACAGAGAGAGGGTAAAACAATTTGATGATAAGCGACAGGGAAGAGATTATTATAAAATCAACTCCATAGATATTTTTCAAACCACACCAGCCCAAAGCTCCCAAGATGATTTTGATACAATCCTCCAGTTGAAAGAGAACCACTGGCCTGGTAATTTCTAAGGCAAGCCTTAACTCTCAGCGGGCCAGGCTGTTAATAGGAATAAAATAGAGACTCAAGTGTAAGGTAAAACATCAAGCAAGATAACAATAGTTGTGCATTAAGCACAGGCTGAAATGATCTTAAATGGAGAAAGGACTATTAAACATGTTATGTACATACATCACTTAACAGTGTTTGGCCAAGGATGGCCAGCACCTCCTAATAGAAAACCACCTGAGGGCTACCTAATAAAAGCACATATGTCTGGACCTCATCTCAGACCACTGAATTAGAACCTCAGGGAAGGTGAGGCCTGGGAACTGGCATTTCAACAGCACTCAAAGTGATTTGAATGCATACTTAAGTTTGAGAACAATTGACATGAAATTTTAGGCTGTCAATTTGCAAAGTGGGATAGAATATATACAGTCTTATCTACAAGGGATTAACAATTTAGTTGACCAATGTGCTTCCCTAGAGAAGAACTCAATGAATTTAAGAGAGGGAAATCAGGTTTATTCTAAATTGCTTCTTAAGTGAAGAGTGAAATATTGAGGTTCCAGTGTGTGATGTAAGATTCAAAGTTCAGGTACTTACATCATTAAAGGGATATTAATTGTTAATCTGATAATTGGATTTAAAGATGGTAGATTTTTTTTTCTAATAATCAACCTGTACTCATTTTCTATTCTATGAGGATGAATGAAAATACATTAACTTTGGAGTATAAACCAAATACTCAAAATTTGTCTCTTACAGATGAGCATGTAACAGGCTGTCCAAAAATTGATATTCATTTTTCCTAAGCCATTAAAACCATCAGTACATGGTTCCAAGTTCAGTAAAAGAGGCTAAGACGAGTAGACAGCTAGACAAGAAATACCAAGCTGTTACCCAAGCCCATGAATTAACTTCCCTTTTCTCCCGAGCTGCACAGTCTTGGACCCCACACATCCCTGGCTCACCCATTTCCCTTCAAGAAACAAAAGCTTTGGAGATGGTCCTGGAAATGTATCCTAGTGTTACCTTGATTAGCTGGGAGATCTGATAACTTTTCTTTTCCTACAGCCCCGCCTCCGCAAAGCGCAAATTCCCACAAGTCTGCAAACCAATAAATAGAACAGACAACAGCTCCCAAAACCAGGCCCTAACTCGGAAGGTGGGGAGATGAGCCAACTTTGAACCAACGCTGAGACCCCGACCCCAGGATCCTCAATTACAGAAGATAGACAGGAGGGTGTCTCCGACACTGACAACACCCACGCCTGCCTCCCGCTGCCCCCTCAGCGAGTCAGTCCTAAACAAGGGGCCGAGCTCGCGGTCAGCCTCTCCTTCCTTCCCACATTCACAGGCGGCGCACACTCACGGGCCGGTTGCTGGACCCCAGACGCCCGACCCCCTCCCAGTCTCCCACCGCAGGCCAGGCAGGGGATCCCTTCCCTCCCCAACCGCCCCCGCAACGCCCGGGCCGCGTCCCCCGCTGCGCGCTGACCTGTCGGGCGCACCAGGCCGGCCTTGGGCTCCCGGCTCTCCGCCTTCCTCGGCCGATAGCCGTAGACGCCCCGCTCGGTCTGGTAGCCGCGCCAGAGGAGCGGGGGTACCCGGCCAAGGCCCCGCGTCGCTGCTGCCACAGTGGCCGAGGCCATATCCCAGGGAGAGAGCGGCAGAAGGACGAGGCAAAGCAGACGCCAAGAAGAAGCAGAGAGCGCCGAAGGCCGCTGGTAACCAGGGAGCGCAGCCTTGGGGCCGGGAACACCGCCCGGGGACGACGCCCCCGCGCTTGATTGGCCCGGAGGGACCCGCCTGGGGGAGCGTCCCTTGGGGGCGAAAGCACACTCCTGCAGTAGGGCGGGACCCAGGGGTGATTCTCCCGACTGAGGTTAGTCCTAGATTTGGTTGTAGGGAAAGTAAGGAAATGCTGAACGGAGCGTTACTAGCTTAAGGGTACAAAACACGATATATCTGTATATCCTGCGCTCTGCCGCTGATGAGTATTCACCCATTACCCCTCTGCTGAAAACCAGAATACAAACCCACAAACGCAAGAAGGGTTCTCATACAAAAAATAAATAAATAAATAAATAACGACAGAGTTGACAAAGTGGCTGGAACTGAAACCAGGGGACGCAAAAAAGGAAAGAACGTACGAGAGAGCTACAAAATCAATTCTTCCCTTCCTTTTTTTCCTTAAGAAATACTGAGGAAGAAAGAAGAAAATAGGGGAGGGGAAAAGTGCAAGAAAGAGATAGAACAGGAGTCAAAAGAAGTTTGGCATGATAGATGACATAAGTGTAGAGATGTTTGAGATTCTTGCTTGGTCTATCTCTGACAAAGTTTCCCAAACTATTTTATTTCATGACTTACCTTTAACTTTGGCTGTATGGTGAAGGAGAGAGGGGTCTGAATCCTTCCCCAGTCAGATATCCATCATTCCAGTCAGTCGTGCGGCCATACCCCCATACTCCCAAGAACATTAGACATATGATCCCAAGATATCTTTCCTCCTCACTCATTCATCCAATATCCTTACCAGGCACTCTGCTGGGTTGCAAGGATTAGTAAGATACAGTGTCTGCCCTTAATCAGCTTCCGGTCTAATTATAGACTGGACTCAACACAGTATGATAAATCCTATGAGACAGGTATGTGCAGGTGCCCTGCAGGCACAGAGAAGCCGCATCCAGCACAGACAGGTGTGCCAGGGAAACTCCTAAAGGAAGAGACACTAGAATAGAATCTTGAAGGATGAAGAGTTAGGTAAATGCACAAGAGAAAGGTGTGCTAAAGAAAAGAAAAAGCATGGGCAAAGAAGCCTGAGATGGCAAGTTATTCAAAAAGGCTTGAAAATTGGTTGTATATTAAGAGATAGAGCTGGAAAGGTAGATTTGGGATAACTGGATAATTAAAAGGGCCTTGAGTAGTAAGGAAGGGACAAGTTACAGGATCAATGTCATTTTACATCAAGTCCCAGAGAAGACTTGATCCACAAATGAAAAGGTTATCCTTGGACGGGAGTGGAGACAACTCATGTATACAGAAAGACAGAGATTAACAGTGCATATTCAGGTGGGTTGATAGATTTGATGGTGGGAGGATAAAGAAATTATTTTCTGCTGCTTTTTTTTTTGGTGAAATAACTAAGCAAGATCAAGCTGAAAGAGGGAGAGAGGAGATATGGGAGGAGGTTTGAAAGGGAAGAAAAGGAATAGCACCTGCAAATGTTTGGAAGTTAGTGTGAAAGCACACCAATTGAAGTTTCTAGCTGGGAAAAAGGAAAGGCAGTAGTTTTAAGAAATGAGTCAAGATCAGGGATCTTTAAAGAACTTTTAAGTCATGTTAAAGCATTTGAACTTTAGCCAAAGAAGAACAGAGAGCTATTGAATGGGTTTAGGCAACAGTTACCTGATCGGATATTAATTTTTAAAGATCGCTCTGACTCAATGTGTATTAAGTATGGCTAGGCAGGGAAAGATCCAAAACAAGACCAATTAGAAAGCTATTATTGCCCCCTTTCGTCCTTGTCTGTCTTAGTCTGGAAGCTTATTGAAACCTGTTCAGCATCATAGCAACATGCAAGCCTCCACTGTCAGACAGGAGAGAGGTTTTGATGGCCTGGACTAGCAATAATGAAGGAGAGTAGGCAGATTTGAGAGCTATTTTGAATGAATTTAGGGTCCACAGGTGGGATCTGTATCATCCTTAACCCCAGGAACTGCCTACTGTCTTGCGAATTTCCCGGCTGATTTGAATTCATGTATTAGGGATGTACCGCACCTTCTCCCCCTCCTCATTAACATCATCTGCCAACTTCTTAGTCACTCCTCTTCATTTACCAAGTCTTCCTAGATAACTCAACTCCTACCATTACCCAAGATGATAAGGACAACTCATCAAATAACCCACACTCTCAGTCTCTGATGACATTCTTCCCCATTCCATTTTAGTCAACCACTCTCCTGGTCATTAGAATTTGCATCACTTTTAAAAATCATCAAATCAAACATCCTATTTTCTGACTACAGCCTTCTGTCCTTCGTTGCATTTCTCCAGCACCCATTCTTCAACCTCACTGGAACCTGTAACCCATTTTCCCTTCCATTTTTCATCATTTCATTCCATATTGGTTTGCCTACTTTTTCAGCTTAGATCTGTTTTTCGTTATTCCCTATCATTTTCTAACCAATATCTTAGACTCCTTTGCCTCTTGGTCTTGGTCTTTCTATCACATCTGACTTTATTTTCAGTTCCTTGAACATCTATACTTTTCCTACTTCAGGGTTTCACACATGTTATTTCCTCTCCTAGGCTCCAGGAATTGACGTAATACCAACTGAGATGTTTCAACAAATGGATGCAGCCCTGGAGGTGCTCACTTATCTATGCCAAGGAATTTGGAAGACAGCTACCTGGCCAATCGACTGGAAGAGATCCATATTTGTGCTTATTCCAAACAAAAGATGATCCAACAGAATGTGGAAATTATCTAACAATATTATTAACGTCACACACAAGTGGAATGAGGGATAGCATTGTTGACGTCAGATGGATCTTGGCTGAAAGCAAAGTATGCCAGAAAAGTGTTTACCTATAACTATGCAAAGGCATTCAACTGTGTGGATCATAACAAATTATGGATAACATTGCGAAGAATGGGAATTCCAGAACACTTAACTGTGCTCATGTGTAACCTGTACATAGAACAAGAGGCAGTCATTTGAACAGAACAAGGGGATACTGCGTGTTTAAAGTCAGGAAAGGTGTGAATCAAGGCCGTATCTTTCGCCATACTTATTCAATCTGTATGCTGAGCAAATAATCTGAGAAGCTGGACTATATGAAGAAGGGGCATCAGGATTGGAGGAAGACTCATTAACAGCCTGTCATATGCAGATGACAAAACCTTGCTTGCTGAAAGTGAAGAGGACTTGAAGCACTTACTGATGATGATCAAAGACTACAGCCTTCAGTATGGACTGCACCTCAACATAAGGAAAACAAAAATCCTTACAACTGGACCAATAAGCAACATCATGATAAATGGAGAAAATATTGAAGTTGTCAAGGATATCACTTCACTTGGATCCACAGTCAATGCCCATGGAAGCTGCAGTCAAGAAATCAAATGAGAAGGTGCGGCCAAGATGGCAAAGTAGTCAGATGCTTCCTGTGGTAACTCTTACAACAAAGATCCAAGAAAACAAGTGAATCGATTATATGTGACAATCTAGGAGCCCTGAGCATCAAAGACAAAGTTAGGGGATAGGACTGAGTGGCAGGGGGAGGGAGAGACAGTTCAGAAGCAGTGAGGAGTTGCCAGACCTGACCGGGCAAGAGCCAGTGACCTTCAGGTCAGATTGGCTCACATGTGCAGTGAGGCAAGCAGTGGCACTCAGGAGGAGTTTTCCACATCAGGAGAGACCTAGTGGCAGAGAGTCTACTCCAGCATCCAGAACCAGTGAGAATCAGTGCTCAATTGGCAAAAGGTAAGTACCTGCGTCTGACCCACCGTGCTGATTAAAAAACACCGCCTTCGGAAAAAACCTCTCCCATTTACCTGCCCCCAAGTGCCCTAGGCCAAAGTAGGACCTGTCACACACCCTGAGCCATTCTTCCAGCCTTGGAGAGGGAACAAATTAACAAACAGCAAAAAATAATCTGCCGGCTCCTCTAAGCCAGGAATTCAGGGTAGGCACAGCTCCTTTGCCTAGGCACAGGCATAAGGGGTCCACAGACTTTGAATGCCTTTCACCTCTGCATAGACCTGTGTGGGCCCATTTCAACAGCGTAGGCCCTCATTAGCACAGTACAATAGGGTATATACCTGAGAACTAACTTCAAATGTATCAGCTATATAGTGAAGTGGCAGGTTCATTACATTTGACACTGCTCTGCCCATTAAGCAGGATCCTTACCTACCAGCATCAGGGGCCTGAGGACTGGTAGCTCCACCCACGCCACATAGCCACCCACGCCAGAAGTCCAAGAATAAGTGGTGCCTCTCAGTCCTTAGAGCCAACAGTACTGGGTGCTCATAGCCCAGCTGCAAAACCCACCCACCTATGTGCTCTAGGGAACCGCTACGTGCTTTCTTCCCAGACACTCAGGGACAGCCGTCAGCCCCCTGCCTTGCTCAGTGTGTGACCCCCTATTGCAGCGAGATACCTGTGCCTACACTAATCACCCCTGCCTGTCTAGGACTGTAGGTGAGAGACTGCACCACACACTTGGTGACCAACTACCTGGACACCTAAGCTGAATCCATACAAGAAAAGTAAACAGATTCCTGGGCTCACATACCTAGTAACAGATCTAACCACCTGTTGACAGGACGTTAGAGCTTCAAAAGCACCAATAATCAAACTAGCTCACATGAGCAGCCTATGTGGGCATATCAAAACAAAACAAAACATGAAGCTAGGACACAGTAAGCAAATATAAAATAAATAAATATAATAACTTATTGATGGCTTGGAGAAAGCAGTCAATATCAAATCACATAAAGAGGCAGACAATGATGGCTTAAGCAAGCTCCCAGAATAAAGAATGAAGAAAATTTCTGGAGGAAAAGAAATTCTTGGAATTACTGGAGGTAGAAAACAAAAGATTAATATACAGAACTCTTAAAGACATCAGGAAAGAGATCATGCAAA